GCAGTGAATTATCGAACCCAGGAGAGAGGTGGTGGGTGCTTTGGGAGGAACGGTTGGTGAAAGGGCTGGAGGGAGGCAGCATGTTTGGCCTTGCAGTAATAGGCCTTGGGTTACTGCTGTCTTCCTCTTGTGAGATTAGAGGAGGTCAGAACATGTGGCCTCCTTGCCGTTTTTGCACTGACATACAAACTTAACTACCACAGTCATGTTGTCAGGACCACAACAGGACCATTTCCTGGAGAAGGAGATCATGCTTGGTAAAGTGGAGGGCCACCGAAAAATGGGAAGATACTCAATGAGATGGCTTGACACAATGGCTGCAACAATGGGTTTAAGTATAGGAATGACTGTGGACATGGCACATGACCAGACAGTGTTTCTTTCTGTTGTACAAAGTGTTTCTATGAGTCTGGGCTGATTTGATGGCAGTAAAAAACAATATATACATGCAAAAGCTGGACAGTGAATAAGGAACCAGAAAGAATTGATGCATCTGAAATATGGTGTTGGTGAAGAATGGGGACTATACCATACCAAGGACTGCCAGAACAAACACACCTGGCTTGGAAGAACTTCCGGAATACTCCTTAGAAGTGAGGATGGTGAGACTTGCTACCACTTATTTGGACATCCTGTCAGGAGGAACGAATGTCTGAACAACATCATGCTTGGTAAGTAAGGGGTCAGCAAAAAATAGAAACACCCGCAAGGAAATGGATGGACACTGTGGCTGCAACAATGGGCTCAAACGCAGCAATACTGTGAGGATGGTGTGAGACTGGGTAGTGTTTTGTTCTGTTGTACACAGGGTCGCTGAATTAGAGCTGTCACCGTGGCACCTAACAACAAAATCAATGCATAGCTTCCATTTACCAAGTCCCGATGAGTGTCAGGCACTGGTCAGGCTTGGGGGACATGTCATCATCTCATTCACTTCACACAAGCAGCCAGGGCAAGTGGGACTGCTCATCAGGTCAGTCTCAGAGATGAAGAAGTGGAGTTCAGAGAGAACCAGTCACTAACCATTCCCAAATGAAGCAGCAACTGGTGGGATTTGTCGTTCTCTCAAATTCAGAGCCCTGGCTGTTGCTAACCAACCTAACCTGAACGTCAGTCTCCCCCCTGGAGAAAAAGAATTGAGGACCAGGTGAAATGAAACTAGATCCCTGGCTTCCGGGGCACGATGCTCAGGGGAGGGGGCCTGACACCCTCACCCTGCCACCACTAGGCTGGAGATGCAGAGGGGGAAGGGAAGGAGAACTAAGAGTCCCGAGGGCAGGGACGGAGCAGAAACCTAACGCAGGGCCACAGGGGAGGAGGGGGGTTACTCACGGGCATGTTCCTGAGAAGGTCGCTCTTTCCACTGGGGTGCAGCACACTGCTGTCCTTAGGGTCGGCGCCAACGAGTTTGGAGACACCTCCCTCCACCCGGGGGAAGCCGGCGAACACTTTCTCTGCGGAGACACAAACGCAGTCGGCACTTAGGGCCAGCCACCTGCACCCGGAGGGGCTGCCGCCACTTTGAAGGAGACAGTGAAATGCACCCTTCCTGCTCTGCGATCCCGGCCAGGCTCCTCAAGGGCCTGGGCTCCGCTGTGCTGGGACGCGGCGCCTAAACCGGCGGTGACCCCAAGGCCCCGGGTCGCCACCTAGCACCGCAAAGCGCTGAGGGCGCGCAGCTGGTCACGACACAACCTCCGCGCGCCCGGGGACCCCGAAAGGCCGCCTGCGCACCCCGCCGCCGCCCCTGGCCGAGGGGCCCGTGCCGCGCGGGGTGGCCACCAGGGACCCGCGCCCGCACTTACTGATCTCGGACGGCATACTCGCTGGCTCCTCAGGGCCCGCTCGCCGGGACTCTCCGGCCCGGCAGCACAGCCGCGCTGAGAACCAAACGCGCCAGGTTGGGGTTGTGGGCCGGCCGGCAGGCGGCGCGGGGCGGGCGGAACCTGCTGGGGGCGCTTCGGGGGCTCGGGCTCGGCTCTCGTCCTGCCCTGCGCGCTCCCGCGGCCGACACCTGCAACTCGGAATCGCAGACCCGCGCGCGGCTCGTCTCCAGGTTTCACCACAAGCTGCACATCCAAGCGCTCGTCTCCACGCCTCCGCCTACTCCGTGCTTGCGCGGCAGCGTCTTGCCTGTCCGAGGCAGGCCCCAGGAAGTGACGTCACGAGAGGATTGCCCTCGGGCCAGTGAAGAGGAGGTGTGGCTGTTCCCCGGGCGGAAGTTCATGGGAGCGGAAGAAGCTGCTGTTGGTGTTTGCTTCCACAGCAGGGGGGCTACTGCAGGCCGCTCTTCGCTCGGGGTGGGGGGAGGGGGGCGGGAATTTAAGATTTGGGGATCGCGGAGAGCGCGAGCAAGAGTGCATATGGGTCCCGGCTCTCTTTAGCCACTCCTTGTGTATTTCTGGCGGGACCATGATTTCCCCGCAGGGTTTCTCTTGCTGAGTGCCTTCCTGCAGACACTGTGCTCGAACGTTTGCAGTGCTGGGTTGACTTTGCAAACATAAGCCAATAGTATTTCTTTCTTTTATAAAGCACAGCCTAACCGAGGAAATTGTCCTTTTTCGAAATAGATACTGAGATATGCTTTGCGGAGCCCGAATATTCTCTCAAAACTACTTGTTACAAAGCTGCGAAGGTAAGAGCAAAGAACATGTAGGTTCTTTGCAAACCAGGGAGTGTTTAATAAAGCAAGAGAGAAAGGGGAATGTCCCTTGTAAAAGCTGGCCAGGATTCATTGGCAGGGGGGACGCAAAACTAGGCCCTTGTGGCTAGCCTCTTACCTCCTTCAAGTGGCCTTCATTGCTCACATGTTAACTTCTTCACGAATGTCACTCTCACTGCGTTATTTCAAATTTTGACCTTCCAGTCTGTGCAAACACTCCGCACGCCTCCTTTCCCTATGGTATTGGCTGTGTGGGGTGTATGCGTGGCACACAGCACTCTTCCCACGGTTGAGTACACCTTCCCCAATATTTGTATTTGCTTTGAATTTCAACTTTCAGATGGATGAATGCTGCCCTCCCTACTGGGTTGTGGGAACCCCACTACCATGGGGTCGATTCCGACTTGGGTTTCCATGGCGGTAAACTTTTACAGGAGTAGATTGCCTCATCTACCTTCCGTGGGCTGGCTGATGGGTTTGCACCGCCAACCTTGTGGGTTGTGGGAGAGAGAGGTAATTGAGAGAATTTGTAAGGCAGCTGTGGGTAACTCCAAAGTTCTGAAACTGAAGGTGGGAAACCTAGGTGTGAATCTTTCCTTTCTACTTAATCGGCCAGGAAATCTTGTTACTACTTTCAAAACTTGTTTACGTTTAAACCTAAGGTTCCCTTTACCTTAGCTATGGCTATTCCAGCTCCAAGTCGCTATAGTGGCTTACCTGAGTTACTAAGGTTATGTCCTGTTTTATGTTATTGCCCCTACCCTTATTTCCCCAGGTCTGTTCTCTAGCTACCACCCAGGATGACCCTTTCAACTAAATCAAATCTAATTATTCCTCAGCTTAAACCCTACAATGACCCCTAATTTCATAGCCTAAAAGGTAAAGTCCTTCAATGGCCCACGAGGCCCCGTGGGAGATATCTCATGGCTGCTTCTGACTCCGTCTGCCGTCCTCGGCCCTTGTCTGAACCTGCTTCCTTGCTTGCTTTGCTGCAGCGAGTTGGGCTCCTTAGTGCTCAAGCAATGCCCCTACATCTCCTGCCCCAGGGCCTTAGTGGCACCTTCTGCACCTGGAATTATCTCTCCCAAAGATCTGGCTAGCCTCCTACCTCCTTCAAGTGGCCATCTTTGCTCACATGCTATCTTCTTTACAAATGTCACTTACTCTTACTGCATTATTTCAAATTTTGAGCTTCCAGTCTGTGCAAACACTCCGCACGCCTCCTTTCCCTATGATATTGGCTGTGTGGGGTATAGGCCTGGCACATAGCACTCTTCCCATGTATGAGTCCACCCTCCCGCAATATTTGTAATGAAGAAACAAAGAATGAAGGTTTTGTGAACTAATGTTATGTATCGTTGAGTCACACCCAACCCAGCGAGCCCTCCTTGGATTTCTGGGGCAGTATCACTACGGAAGTAGATTGCCCAACCTTCCTTCCGAGGAGTGGCTGGTGGGTTTGAACTGCCAGCCTTCTGGTTAGCAGTCAAGTGCCTTAGGCACTGTGCTACCAGAGCTCCCTTGTGAACCGAGCTGCCCTAGAAATGTCTTTATTTGGAATCCTGAGATTCCTAAAGAAGAAACACAGTGGCCTACAGGTGGGGAGCAGTTTCTGTTCTGAGAATCTTCCTTGTTTAATTATGGTTAGTAGTGCTGGATAAGGCACTTGCCTGCTAACCAGAACGCTGGCGGTTCAAACCCACCAGCCACTCCTCAGAAGGAAGGTTGGGCAATCTTACTTCTGTAGTGATACTGCCTCAGAAACCCCAGGAGGGGTCGCTATGAGTCAGGGCTGACTCAACGGCACATAACGACAACAACAGTGCTGGGATCAAGAGCCAGTGCTTACACCCATGTGTACCCCAGTATGTTTCTGCAACGGAAAGATGGCTTTGCAGAAGTAACATTAGGCATCAGCTTCAACCTCTTGCAAGCTGGTGAGCTTTATGCATACAGCCTGGTTGGAGTTAAAACTGCTGAATCAGAGGCCTCAAAACATTCGCATATCAGCCAAGATGGGTTCTGTGACTTCTTCTTTTTTTTTTTTTTTAATTGTAATTTGGGTGAAGGTTTACAGAGCAAATTCACTTTCCCTACAGCAGTTAACATATACTTTGTCTCATGACATTGACCATAGTTTCCCACAATGCAACAGCTCCCCTCCTACCTCCTCCCCACAGTTACCACTTCCCTGTGTCCATCCCTCCATGCACTCCTGCCCCTGAGCTGTCTCCCGGTGCATAAGCAGCCCTTCTTTCTCCCATGATTGTTCTCTCCAAGGAGTGTATCTACTTGAGGTAAATGTTCAACTCATATGCCTGTCTTTTGTTTGGCTGGAAACTACAGGTGTGGGTTTAATTCCAAACCTGAAGGGCAGCTACGGGCCATAGTCTCAGTGGTTCCACCAGGCACTATCGGACCAGCAAACCTGGTCCCCTCCCCCCTTTTTTTTTCCTCCAAATGATTTTGAGTTTTGTTCCACATTGTTCTCCCTCTCTATCCAGGATCTCCTATATAGATACCTTCCAAGTGGATGACAGTGGTAGCCGGGCACCATCTAGTTCTTCTGGTCTCATAATTATATAGGCTGCAGATCAGATGGTGTACCAGTCGCTAGGACTAATTGTTTCCATGAATTTTGGTTTTCTTCATTCTTCTTTACTCTGGACGAGGAGAGACCCATCATTGCATCTAGATGGCTGCTTGCTAGCTTTTAAGATCCCAGTCGCTACTCGCCAAAGTAGGAGGGGTCTATAACTTCTTTTAAGCTTAAGAAGTAGTTATGGGGCTTGAAGGAAGTCTACGTGGAGAGAGCAGGTGAGGTTCTATAAAAATGATCTATGTGTTTCTGGGGATTTCGACTTGGTCCACTTGCATCTTTTAAAATTCTTTCAACAGGTCATTAGCCCACTAATGTAGTGTTTTGACCTGGGTAACTGAGCCACCCTGCTCTTGCAGCAGCAGACGTATGTGGGTCTGGAGTCTCCTGCTGCCTCCTGTTAGCTCCCAAGGGACAGTTTTACAAGTGAATGTCTGAGGCAAATGGGAAGCCTCTGAGAAAGCTGTCCTTGCCACCAGCCAGGCCTTCTCTTTGGAAAAAGAGGATGCTGGAAGGCTAAAGGCCTAAGTAATGTCAGTTTCTACTCGTAACACTTGCTTGGTGGTCTGCACATGTTTGTCAAGCGGTAGTCAGCCAGTACAGCATGTTGTTTCCTGCACGAGGAATGTAAGGCAGGGAGAGAACAGGTTAAGACTGTTTTATTGAATAAAAGTGAACTGAATTGCTGTGACATCTTCAAGAGAATTTGCCAGGGTTGGAACACTGACTTTCAAACTAGGTCGATTGTGTACGTTAGAGTAACCAAACTAGGCTGTGCTTTTTCTTTGAAACTTACTGGGAAGAAAAGTTCTCAGTAAAATGAGCATTCCCATCAGTTTTACAGGCAACACGGAGGAATGGCACCCTTTCCTTTTGAATTACTTCTGTGTCTCATGCTAAAGCAGCTCACTGGACAATCTCATGATGGCAGTTGTTTCTCATTTGCCTCTCCAAATCGGCTTTGCACTTTCAGTCTGCTTTGCCCAGGAGGCAGATATGCACGACCCACTACCCAGTCAACAGAGTTCCCCGAGCCCTCTGCTTCTAGTTTAGTTCAGCCATTGAGAGCCCTGGAAGGAAAAGGTCATTCCAGGATGGTCATTCCTGTGGTTACTCCTATGGGGTGGTCTGTTTGTGTCTCACCTGTGGGGGTTCAATGCTGAGTGCCAGCAGCTGTGGACACAAGGCACTGTTTCTTGGGCCCTCTACTTCCTCTCCAAGGCCTTTGTTAGTTAGTAAGCCATCCTTTAACAGTGTGGCCTGGGCCTTCTCTGGGTACCCCAACGTGTCTGTATACCCGCTGTTTCACAGCACCATGGCTCAGAAACCAGTTCTCTGAACATCTCACTTCCAGAACCAACCACCTCCCATTGGAATTCCTGAGGCACCTACTCAGATCAAACCCAAGCCTGCCTGAGACTAACCACCTCCCCTTCTCCACATCCCCAGTGCGTGAAGGCTGCCCCTCTGTGGTGTCACTTTCCAGTGACCAGTGTCCCATCTCCAGCGTCACTGGTCACAAACCTAGGAGCTTTCCTTCCTAGCTTCATTATCAACCCTTCACTAAACTTGTTTCCTTTCAAATCTTCCATCTTTCCGAAATCTATACCTTTCCATCTCTAATCCTGCCCTACTCCAACTTAGCATCCCCTCACCTGGGTCACCTTATTTCCTAACTAATATCCCTGCATCCAGTCAGAACTCCACGCTACAGTCAGAGGAATCCCCCAGAGCTGGTCTTTGTCCCCACTCTTTGCTTTGAGTTGGCTCAAGAGACTAAGCTCTGCCCTGGTCCTACGAGGTCCTAGAGCTCTGGGACCCTGCCTGCCCCCTTCACAGGGATCTTTCTTTTCTGGCCTCCAGGTCCTTTGA